AATGTCAAAAAATTTATAAATTATCTTATCTGCCGTTTGAAGCATTTTACTCATCTTGTTTACATTTTTATTTAATTGATTTATTTTTACTTTTTATTTTTTTGTTTGAGAAAGCAAAATTTATTGGATTACTGTATATATCACTTTGGGTTAATTGCTACATCTTACTTAATTACAGCAACGAAAAACTTTGATCTTTTTAACAGCATATCCATTAGGTAGCAAAGCAGGAAAAACTTTTTATATAATTCAGAAATTGAAGACTTATAAATGAAAAATTTTTTAGGTTACCGAAAGCTGCCTTTTACAGATCGAAGCTGCAATGAAATAATGGCAAAGGGGCAAATTTTCGGCAGGATTCAAGTGAACTAAAAAATTTTTTCGTTTTTCATGACTTCACGCCTTTGTTATTTACAGCCAGTTAATTTATTGGTAGGAACCATTACTTTCTACCTAAACAATTGGTACCTGAAAAACCTTAAATTTCAGATATCACTTTGTTATTCGCCATCACAACGGCAACTCGTGGTTACTATACATCGAGCTGTCGACTTGGCACCACGTCCGGACGGAGTCATGCGAAATCCATATGTCAAAATATTTTTACTTCCTGACAGAAGGTAGACACTGTTTCTGTTTTTTGTTTTTTTAGAAGTATTTGAACAAATATTTTATAAAAAAATTATTTTTAAGGCGGTCAAGAAATGCTTAGATGCACTGCTTTTTTTCAGTGAAAAAAGTAGACGTCAGTCTGCCGTTTTGGCCGAGACCTGTACTCCAATTTGGGAAGAGCCATTTTATTATCATGGCTTAACAGAAGCAATGCTTATTCAGCGTGTACTTGAGGTGGGGAAGCGTCATCACTAAAAAATTTTGGAACTTCTTTATACTTCCAAGGCGTTTTTGTCTTTGGGAAAGAAATCTTGTTTTTTGAACTTTAGAGATTTTTTAAATCAAAATATTTCTAAAGAAAAATGTCAAAGAAAAACAGTCATTAATTTGTCTGTTATTTTAGGTAACCGTCTGGGATTACGACAAGTTTGAAACAAACTCATTTCTTGGCGAAACTCTAATTGATTTGTCTGAAACTCCATTTGATGACGAACCCATATTTTATACACTGGTCGATATGGATGAGGAAAACCCTTTACGAGCCGTAAGTTCACTAGCTGTATGTGAAAAAAAATTTAAGACTCTATTTGACTAAAATGACTAAAATAAGTCTAAAAATTTGAAAAGGCTTATTACATCATTGCTCTCCCTTTGTATTCAAAAGGGGCTAATAAGTATATATTTCTAAGCTCTTTAGTTTCATTACCCGTTAAAAAAAAAA